GAAGTAAGGCATAAGCACTAAGTGGAGATTCTAACACAATCTCTTACACTGCATCATTTAGTTGAAAGCAATCAGTTTATTTTACCTGGTGAGCCTTCTGGTGTTTTTTCTATTAAGAAAACACCATTTCAGCACAGAGTTTAACTCACATTAGTCAAATCCCCGAAGTGGAAAAGTTTAAAGCTTGACAGGCCGAGTCACAGCTACTACTTAAAAAAAAAAAAAAAGAAAAAAAAAAGTATATATATATATATATATATATATATATATTATATATATATATATATATGTTGGAGAACATTTACAAGCAAGTGTGGAAATCCATGAGTACACACAAACATTGGCAAACTACAAGATGTACACAGTTGCATGTAGTACATCAGTTTCATGACTACATTTTAGTTAAAGTAAGTGGAGTTCTATTTGGTGAAGGTTATAATGGTTTTACTTTGCCTTACGTTGACTTTCTTTGTAAACAAGAGAAGGTCTGCGTGCTAGCGATGGCTCTGTGTTGTGCCTCGGTGGTGGGGGAGGGGGCACCTGTTGAGGTGGTTAAAGGGGTTACGAGAGGTTGATTTTTTTGTCACTTTCAATCAGAGATAGAGTGATAGAGAGAGACAGCGAGAGAGAGAGAGTGAAAGAGGTACCTGCAAATGTAAAAAAATATTAAGGTTTTTTTTAGAGCTATGATTAAACTCTAGATGACTCGTAATTAGGAAAGTTGAGAAAGCCTATGGTTGTCTTTTTAGTAGTTTAGTCTGTATCTGTCAAGTAGGCTGTCATTAAAATATGCAACAGAGCTTGTTCTTTGGAGAAACAGTCAATTAGCCATAAGAAGACGGGAGCGAGTTTTGAACTTGACAGTATTTTAAGTGCCCATTCAAGAGAAGATAACTGGAAAAAAAGAAAAAAAAAAGAAGTTATAATTGCTTTTAAACTTTTTACTTTGCATCTGTAAAAATCACAGACAATACCAAACACATTACAATGGGAGTGATTTTCTCATTACTTGTGTTATCATTAATGGATAAGTGAAGTCGATGTGGCCCAGACATGTGGCTGTGCACCACTCAGATCTCAAACAAAATACAAAGACAAAAAATAATAAAATAGACATGGATACATGTACATGGTGCTGTAATAAGTGGCGGTTTCAAAATACACTTATTCTCACTAACACAAATACACACACACCCACACCACACACACACACACACACCCTTATCTCCATAATTACTGTATCGTCAGCATGTCCGTGTTTGGGGGTGACTCTCAAAGTGAGATGTTGACAACAGCAGAGCTGAGCTCAAGCTGGGACCCGTCAAAGGCCTGACACTGATAGCATTATCCATATAATTATTAACACTTAAGTGGACTGCCTACTTATTTTTAACATAATGGCTTTGAAAGCAGAAGCCAGATCCATGTTGCCCTCTCATTTCAGAACTTCAAACCTCCTCGTGTCAATAATGGAAAGAAAATATGTTGTGCAGTTTCTCTTGAATGGATTAAATGTGATAATTTTTTTCAGTTGAACTGAATTATTTTCCATCTGAGTATAAAAAAACTCACCAAACTCACCATGTATTAGACATTTAAAAGTGCAGTGGTTTTCACTTGAGCTATCCTCAAAAGCCATGTTATTTAATCCCAGAATCAATGTTGCTGTTCTGTGACAGCCTCATTTTTTTTTTCTTTTCTTTCAAGATAACATTAGCAAATAAACAGTATTACAAAGACCACAGAACAAAGCATACAAGTCAGGGGTAAGGGTTAGGAGAAGAAAAATCAGCATTAAATTATAAAAATATTCCCCAAACTTTAAAACGGTTCACAGAGAACCTTTCATCCAGCCATCGACGAACAGAAAGAGCTTTGAAAAACAGAACCTACCAACACATCGCCATCCACTTAAACTACCAGGTAGTATCTCTACTGGACATGCAGGAATCTTCAGCTTAGGTAAGATAATTTCTTGACAGGATAAATATTAGTTGTGCTCTCAACAAATTTGGCCTTTATGGAAGAGTGACAAGATAATAGCAATTTTTTGGATGAAAGCTATAAAAAAGTCTCATTTACAGTCAACATTTCTCAAAGGGTGCACTTTTCCTTTGACTTCTCTGTTCTGCATAACTGGTGGTCTAATCAGGAAACTCCAACAAAATACACTGAAGTTTGAGATTGTGATGTGCCAAATGTGAGATGATTTAAAGGTCATGAATGCTTTTTTGCTGGCTGTTTTTGCTCTTTTTGTAAATATATATATTTTTTCATTCTTCGATAAAATATTTGCTTGGCAGGACTCATTTGTTTGTCAGCATACTCTTCTGAATAACGTGTTCAAGTCGCTGGGAAAAATGAGCGAATAAAGGAGCCAAATTTCAGGGATTGGAAAGGAGAATCATATTTGCATGCAAGTGTGTCTGTTTGCACAGCATGTGTGTGTCACGACGGAACATGGGAAATATGGGAGATGTCAGACCGGCCTCTGTCCCCTTCCTGCTGGTGTGAATTCGATGTGAACCGGCACGCCGCTGATGACGGGGGGAAGCTATGCCGTAGCGTGGCCCACTGACTCATCACAGCTCCTCCGTGCTACAGCTCGACAGAAGAGTGAAGTGGTTGCGTGTCTTTAAAACTTAATGAAAGTGGGCCTCCGAAGGTCAGTGCAGAGCAAGCCGGGGCCGTTTCGTCTGTTGCTAATTGGGTATTAATGATTCAAAGATGCTTCTGTGTCCCGAGCGTAAAAGGTGAACTTACACCACTGTGCAATTGGAAACACTTCAAAGGACAGTAAATTACAGAACAAAGAAAAAGACACACACACACACTCACGCACACACACAAAAAACAGTTTAACATAAAAAGTGACAAAGAAGTTGTAGTGACAAGAAGATGTGTGTCACTTTTGGACAATTTTTTACAGTGCGCCGGTTTGGTACGACTGACAAATTATTTAGCAGCTTTTGAATTGCAAAATTTGAATTTCATTAACCAGCTATGATTGATTATCCCACAGAAGACTGCTCCTGTGATCGTCTCTTTTGATAGCAATTTAATAAGGCGCCAGTCATAAGTGAGAATGAATGGAGCTTAAGCCAATTATATCAGGTATAAAATTAATGTACAGTATGAAAGATGGAGCAGAATGTGCCTCCGAAGAAACATTTATAGGTGGTTATTGTTCAATTCTTCATGGTTAGTAATATTAAAAACAAGAGTTAATGAATCGAAAGGTATCAAAAAACTAGGCACCACTTGTGCTACTTTGCCCGCTCCTATATATGATTTTTAAACTAACAGAGTGAAAACAGATGTTTTCATAAGAACCTCGTGTTTGTAAATTACTAGAAGACCAGTTTGGAATATGTATGAACATAACAAGAGCCGTAGAGTCACAGCCATGCAAATATGCAACACATTGTGCTCACTCATGCATGAAAGTACATTTGTGATCATTATTTGCTCTTTATTGTGAAGTCCACACGTGAAAGAAGGGAAATTTGTGAATTTCTAATAGACATGGGTCGGTTGTAGTCAGCAGGGCATGTCAAGGTTTTAAAAACGTTACTGGTTTAAAACTATTTGTCATACTCTTTCCATGGACACTGTTGGTCAGCTGCCTGAAAGAAGACTTGCACTACCTTCCTTTGCTTAGAAGGAAAACCAGTTTTATTGTCTGACCTTTTTGCCCTTTGGAAACTTTTCCAAAGTCTGGAAACGCAGACGAAATGAACAGCGTATCGTATAAGCATCCAGCTGTTTGTTTCCAATAAAAACTTTTTGGTATCATTTAAATGTTTCTGCTCAAACTCACTTTTACTGTCAGACAAAAACAATCGCAGAAAATAAGAATGCTGTTTTCAAATAGTGATTTCATTTATTAATGTGGAAAGAGCTATCCAAACTATCCTGGCCTTTTGTGAAAAAACTAATTATTCACTATGTCTCATAACTAGATGGACTGGCAACAACTACAACCATCAAATAATTGGAATAACTCACTTTTGCTCACATTACTTTTGAGGATTTTCTGCCCAAACGTCTCTCCAGAAGTGGTTTTAAAAATATATATTGGAGAGTATTCATGCATGAGTGGCTTGTTTAAGGTTAAGGCAAAACTTTTCACATGAAATCAAGCTGAATTATTTCAGTAGGCCACTCTATAGTCTCTATTTTGCTTTAAGAATCTTTGGAAGGCGGTATTGCAGATGTGTTTATGGTTTGGTACACAATCCTTTTACATTTGACGTTAAGCTCACAAACTGACAGCTTTGTATTGTTTTTTAGGAGAATAAGTTGTCCAGGTCCAGAAACGGCAAAGCGGCTCCGGACCATCACACCATGTGTCTGAAGGTTTTGTTTTAAATGCTGGGTTTGTTTTGCACCTGGTCTAGCTTTGTGTACGTCTTTCAAAAATTTAAATTTTTTTTCCCCTCCCCCCATCAATCCACAGGATATTTCCTCGAATATTTATGTCGTCGTTTATTTTTCTGGCAAATGTGTGACAGGCCTTTGTGTCAACAATGATTTTACAGTTGAAATCAGATATGTATGTAAAAAAAAAAAAAATCTCACTGTATGAAATTAAATCAGACCAAATGTCTCTTGTTTTAGGTTAGCTGGAATTACTAAAATGAATAAACTGAACTTTTTCCAAAGAAAAAAGATATCGAAGGGATGACTTTTCTATTTTACATAATTAGATGTAATCATAAGAAAAAAATATCTCACTTTTGCTCAGCTTGTATTTGTTTAATATTAAATTTATTTCAGGATCTCAAGTATTTTACATTGTCAAAGAAGACCGCCTTTGAAAACTTGCTTTTTTTTTGTTGTCAAACACATTTTCATTTAAACACGAATAATTTGTTGTACTTTTACTCATGGTGATCATGCTGAGAATCTCATACCAACCCATGCCTAGTTGCGGTGTCGTGTAACTGGCAGTGAGGGTGCATTTAGGTTTCCATCTGGCTTCTGGACAATAGTCTTACCTTGAATGTGGACATGGCTGGGTCCCTGTTATACCTGTCTATGGTGTGGAACTTGGACGAGTGGTTGAGCTCATGGTACAGCTCAGAATGTCTTTTGCGAGTGTGCATCACTTTCTGGAAGGGAAGAAAGGAAGGGACAGCAAAAATGAAGCAAATAGGAACAAATAAAAGAAAGGATGAAAACGAAAAAGAATGTCGGTTGCATGACCAGGGGTTAATGTAAGAACAGGCAGTGGAATGTGTGAGGAAGGCATTGGGACTGCAGCGATGCCAGCCATAAAAAGGGGAATTTAGAGGGGGACACTGACAGACCGATCGATTGCTGACTCATGCTCATCTGTCATCCGCTTCAGCACTCTTAGAATTTGGCAACTGGGATTGTTGCAGAAGAGTCCTTTAAGTTGGAAATCGGGTTACAGTGACAGACAAAAACTCCATTAATTCAGATAGGTGCCAGCTAAAAAGGGGGTCCTGTTAATTCCAGATTTTGTCAGAGTCACTAAAAGTCTCAAAGAGACAGGAATTTATTCCACTGCAATGCAGTGCTGCAAACAATCAGTCTGATCCTCTCTAGAAACACTTGTCAAAATCATCTTATTGATATGTCCATCTCAAAGACAATTAAATCCAGAACTCTGACAGTATACTTGTCAGTGTGTGTTAATATGTAGTCTTGAATTGACTGGGAAGTAGCTAATCATTGAAGCACTTTTATGAGTTTGAAAGTGACACAGGCGCAAAATGCCTGCACAACCCACCAAACCAACCAATTATGCACAAGACTAATAATTGGGACTGGCTACAGTAAAGTGACAAAACAGCCACCATCATCAGTGCTCATATCAAAAGTTGCCATAAGATGTCCTCTTTTGTTTTGTTTGATGTTAAATTACAGCCTCTATTGAAGATACTACAGTGGGTATAGTATAAGACATGTGATCCTTAAATGCACACAATGCAGTAAAAATAATGTGTCAACATGTAAATTAGCACCCTATTTATTTTATTTCTTTAAAGCAAAGTAAATATTTGAATGTTCTTGTGCAAAACTATATAAAGAGTTCTTCATTGAGGTAGGCTTAAGGTGTTTATTCTTAAGACATGAAATCCAGTGAAAGCATGAAATATCTTATAAACCACCGCCATTCACAAAGTATGAATAGAAAATAGACGATTCTGAACTCAAACAATTGGGCTCCCCAGAAGACTGGCCGAGTTATTTTCGTCACTTATATCCTCCATAAAAAGAATATAGTGTCCCCCACTTTTACTGGTTTCCATGGTAAAGAAGTGTAAAAAATTTGAGTACAAAAAAAAAAAAAAAAAAATCAACTTTCATTTTGGGCATTTTTTATTAAAATGGGAAGGATTAAACAATATGCTATTTGATGAAGACATTTGTGTGCTGGTCTTCAACCATTAGGAATTGGTAACAAAGAAATGGCTACTTTTTTGAAAAGAAGCTTTCAAATAGCATTCCATGACTTTCTGTTTTCATAAGGTATAAACAGGATTGAAGATCCACATTTTTCTCTCTCCACAAAAGAAGAATGATAAGGAAAGCAATAAGATCTACAAAACTTGTTAGTGAGCAGCAGCAAGGAGTGGCATCTCAGGGTCATTCAGTCTCCCTAAAAATATTTGTGACAACACACTGGCTGTGTTTTTCCCTTCTGTCTTATTATCTCCAAGGCTTTAACTGGAACAGAGATATGTGAGATGAGTCTAAGCAAAAAACAGTTCAACTGGTTTTGGTGTGGAAAAAAGAAATAGAAGGATAAGTGGAAAAGCCCCACTGTGCCCACAGTGCGGTAGAGAACGGAACTCCTTCAAATATAAAAACATAAAACAATATCAATGATTTACATATCAATACTTGATTCCTTTCTATTAAACTGAAGATGGATCATCATGATACATTACTGTACTGTATAAGGTCCAGTAAACCGAAGAAAAAAAGATCAGGCGAAAAAAAACAAAACAAAAAAGATCCAGTCTTTCATGGTCGTAAGCAAAAATTAACACAGAAGATTTTTCAAACTAAAGAATAAAAAAATTAAACTGCCTATACTACAACCATACATAAGTTATCCTTTGGGCTTTTGTGTTCTCCACTTTTTTTACCAGAAGTGCCAATAAGTATGGAAGGAGCTGTATTCCTCTTGAGGTTGTAGGTGAATGTTAAGGTTTAACAACAGCAAGAGTCAGATGAGATATTTACAAAAAGCAATAAGAGTTGTATGTGGAGAACATTCTCGGGACTGGAGTTTCACAAGACACCGAGGTCCTTCTGACAAAAAAAAAAAAAAAAAAATAGAAAAGAAAACATAAGCACATACACTGCTGAACCACCATATATCCACAGATATAACCAGCAAACTCAACTTTAGTCAAACAGTGTAGCTGTGACCCAAGAGATACTGGAGGTAGTCCAGACAAATAAAGCAGTCTAATCAGATTTTTCTTCAACCAGGACCCCACAGAGGCATGAGGCATTTTCCTAAATGAGTTTCATAACTCTTTCATTTATTTATTTATTGTTTCTTCCTCTTGCATGAAATGTCAGACCAACAATTTGGGGCCATGGTTGTAGAAACAACATACTGGGTAAGACAGCTCTGAAAAAAACAAATTTCTCCAAGTGCAAGGGAGACAAGGGTGGGAAGGTAGGGGTTGGGGGTTAAGCAATGCTTTTTACTCCTCTACGTGTTACTTAGGTCCTGGCAGAAGCACAAGAAAGCAGATACAGGCTTATGATAGTGGATGCGGTTTGAGATCTTACCTCAAAGTCCAGCTCAGAGTACCGTACTCTCTTCCTCTGGAAGAGGAGGGGGCAGGGGGAGAGAAGACAGCATCAATGACTACCCTGGACTGAGTTGAACTTTTGTGATCTCTAATTCTTTGTGGGCCCTTCTGTGCCATGGTTCAAATAGAGAAAACCTAGTACTGTTTGCCCAACGTCATACGCATTTTATAAATGTCAAACAGGGAATAATTCTTCCAACTGACTGAGATTAACAGTCAGTTGAATGGAATATTTTTTTTTTGAGTAATTAAGGCTTTTGTAGCAAAAGCCTTGAAAATTTGTTAGGGGTCATCATTAAAACAACTGCAAAAATGTATGGGAAATGGGTTTCATCTCTTTATCACATGTATACCCTTCTCAGCTCATTAAGTGCCTTCAAAGCTTTACCAAGTGGCACACAAACTGGCCAATTGACAGTTGCAGACATTTCCAGCTCTTTTAGGATCCACATTGCATTGAATTGCATTCCATCTCTTACTTCCTATCTGGCTCCCGCCGTCTGCCAGATTAGCATGTTGGCACAGAGAGGGACAGCTCTCCACAGTTAGTCAAAAGCTGTGTTCATTTCTCCAAAAGGCCAGCGCTGCTGAACTGATGCCATGGCAGGCATGGATTTAGAACAGAGGTGGGCAATTTCGGTTTTCAAGGATGGCCCGGATGTTTCAGATATGATTTCTGCATGAACACAACTGTTTTGAAAGACTGGCTGATTGTGATGTACATGCAGAACTTGGTGAGAGGCTGAGGAGGAAATTCCTCTATTGGAATCCAGTGCGTTGGTGGGGAAACATCTAAAACATGTTGAATACCGAGTTTCAGTATTCCCCACCTTTGACTTGAAATATAAAGCATTTTAATCTTAGAGGTAGATACAGTTCAACCACGGTATCTAAATCTACCTTTTAGTACTTAGTAGGGAAAACAACACCTCAGTCAGTACATTTAACAATTCCCAATTTGATTTGTTTTCAGGTTTCATTGAATCGGTAGTCCGCAAGTTAATGCAGAATTTGGTGACCATCTAAGGTAAAACTTTTGCTTCTAAAACTGGGTGTGTTGGCACAAAGATGCAGCCACAAAAAACATCCAAAAGACCAGAATTGCCCACGTTTGAGTTAAAAAGTGAAAGACTCGAGCCTAAGAGATAGATCAATCTCCGCTTTCTTGATTCACCTTTCAGTGTAATTAATGCAGAAAAAAGCCCGCCGACTCTTACCTTGAACAGAGCAACTCCATGACTGAGTTACCTTTGTACAACAATGACACGCATGCAACATGCATATACCTGAGCTGTATATAGCATGTTTTGATGGAGACACACCTGAAGCAGCTTTAAATCCACTCACGCAAATTCAAAGTTTGTGACTCGATTGCATATGCATTCCTTTAAAAATAAAAATATGTCTGTCATCATATGCTTTTTAGATCATACGCTTTAATTAGTGTGTGCTGTTGAAATGGTGGAAAAAATAAAAATAAAGAATAAAAAACAGAATGCAAGCCAAAAATAGATTTGGGTAATTTCTCAATTGCATATTGCAATGTTAAAGTTGCAAAGCAAAACATGACTAGGTTTTTAAATCTTGAGAGGCACACTCGTTAATCCATCTTCAAATCAAGCATAATCAGGACAAAATTATAGCTGCAATTTAGATTTACCAGCTTTTTCAACATTCCTCCCTTTTCTTGTCTTTTCTATGGCTTTCATGAAAGCATTCACAGCTCTTCAGAGAGCGCAATCTTTTTTGATGTTATACAACTTGTAGTCAGCTCCAAAGGAGGCATCGTCACATTTTCAGCAACCCAGGTGATGCTTGCATGTCTTTAATCAACCTTGTACGTCATTGTAATAAACCTTGTGATTATACGTTCGTTTTACTGTGTCTTTAGCTTTTTATGCATGTCAACACGCATGGCAGTGGTTGTGTAGTTCCTGTGGAAATGTGCAGTAGGGTGAAGACCTTCTCCAGGAGGATAGTTCCTCTGATCCCACCAGTCTCAGTCCATCTGCTGTGCGGTCAGGAGGGGGTGTCGCACACAAACTGCATCACACTCACATGGAGATGGTAAACTAATAAGGAGCTGTCTGTCGATATGAGAATGAGTCATTTTGTTGCCTCAGTTGGCAGCAATAAATACTACTGAGCTGAAAATAATAGCATCTGTTAGACCAGACTCGTTCTCGGGAACACTAAAGTGTAATTGTGAAAATATGTGGGGAGTGCACTGTTCTAAAACACTCAATAGGTATCTTAGAGATGGCCTTATTTAACAATAAGATGTATTGGCTTGAAGACAACAGCTTGAAGGTGAACAGTATGATCTATTAATCCTCTTCAAGAGTAGAGGGAGGAACCAGTTAAGTTTAGAAGAAATATATGTTTGATAAACCTTTTAGTTACTTCCTGCCACTTAAATATTGAATGCAAATGTCATTTGAGCTTTCTTGCACTGCTAAAGACACTTGTGCAGACTGACTATTACTAAATAATTGGAGTTTGTTTGCAGAGTTATTCCTCCCACTTCAATCCCTCACTGTGCCATCGCGTCGGTAAGCACACTACATCTATAAGAGTCAAACATCAGCTCAACTGAAAGTTGTGAACAACTAAGCTATTTCTATAAACTACTGCCATCCATTTTTCACAGCCCTTCACTCACCTCCAGGGATCCCGCTGAGAGGCTGGTGTTGGCATTGGTACTGCCTAGGTTGCGTGGGAGGGTGCGGGTTCTCTCCACTGTGGTTCCCCCTGTCAGAATCTGTCTGACTGATGGCCTCTGGCCTGGTTTTAGGTGGAGTGAATGCGTGTGGGAGTGCATGTGTCCTCCGTGGGAGTGCACATGCCCACCTTGGCCCATCAAGTGGCCATGCCCATGGGGCACGGTTTTGATAGTCCCGTAGGAGCGGTTTAGGTTCATGGTGATATTCATGTCACCGACGTTGGACGGCACAAAATCTGCTGGATAGGCCTCGCTCTCTGCTGGGTGGAGGGTCAGCGGAGAGGGAGGAGGGGGAAAGGGAGGATCCTCCACCGCGATATTGAGGGGCTTGTCCTCGCCGCCAAGTCCCAGGCCTCCTCCCTGCGAAGAGGGCGCGGGGGGTTTGAGACTGACCGTCCTACGAGGCAAGACCATGTAGTCTCCTTCCCCTCCTCCGCCACTTCCACCCCCGCCGCTCCCCCCACTTCCTGCGCTTCCGTCCTGGGAATTGTTGGAGGATGCAGGCGGCCGGGCCCAACCCAGGCCGCTCTCAGTGCACAAGTAGATTGGAGCGGTGGAGCGTGGCTGCCCCTGCTGTCTCTGCTGGTCCAAGTTTACCTCCTTCTTAAGAGGTGTCTCACTGAGCTCATTAAGTCCTAATGTTGGAACCTGATGGGGAAATAAAAAGAGTTCAATTTAAAGTAAGTTATTATTTCCTGAAAGTTATATCATTACTTTAAATTTTTGATATGTTCGTAAAGTATTAAATAGCAGGAAAGTTGAAAATGTTCTTCCTCTTATGAAATAAATGCCAAATAAGCCTCCAATTCAAACCGGTACCTGAACAATGAGGTTTGGAGGTGGGATGTTTCCAGGAAGAGAACTGAAATTGACCCCTACTCCCCCTTCTTGATGTGCTGCGAGCTTTGGATCATCCTCATCATCCAGGGAGATTCGTGACAGGGTTCCAGTGATGGTGGCTGGGTTACAGGTGTTGACCTCTTTGAAAATGACTGAAGGAAGAAATGGGAGGCAGAGGAAGTCAGGAAGACTGCCAGAAAGTTAAAGTTAGAGACAAAACACAAAAGCAGAGTTAAATGGTTTGTAGGTACGGGGTTAAATTTGGGAAAAAGAAAATAATTTTTTAGAAAGTGAGTGAATATTAACGCCAACAGAAACTATATATCTTGTTTAACGGGAAGAGAAGTAGGTTTAATATTAAAAATTGCATTCTGGAAATAATTTTTCACTTTACATTCTGAACTGAGTTAAGATCAGATTTATCCAAGGCACTTTTCACTGAATAGTGAGTAAGTATACTCTAAGCTTGGAGCATCAAATGTGTTTCAATGATTGCCACATAGTTTTGAAAACATCTTGAAGTATGTTTGGGTAGTGTATATCATTAAAAAATGTCTAGCATTTCTAAACGACTTCAGAAAAACGCATGCTAAAATAAAGGAAATTGTTCTACAGCATAAACAGCATGCAGAAATGGGGTGTCTGAAATCTGGCCTCTCCAGTGAAAAGAGAGGATATCATTTTGGTGATAGTCTACTTCACATATCACTTAAAATCACTTGTTTAAGGAAAAAATGTGTGAAGATTTAGGTGACCAACACCTGCTAGAAGAGAAACAAAAAAAAAAAAACATCGTTAAAACTGCCTACTTGTTTTTGCTATGAAAAATTTTGGAGAGACATGCGTCCACAAATGTCATATTCACAACTAGCATCAGTCTGGCATCATTATTAAACAGAAATCAAGACAGTCATGCTGGAAACCATGCTCACCTGCATCTACACAATCATATATATGAGCCACTGAGAATGTACATGACTCTGAGAACCCAATTGGCCAAACACATTCCTGCCTTTATTACATAACTTTAATCAAATGTCAGACTAAAATACTGAAGCTCTCATTTGAATGAGTATAAAAACATGCACACTGGCTTGCGGATAAAACTCGGATTTGATATTTTACTAAAATGACGAGAACCAGTAGTCTAAGCATTTTTGGTAAATCAGATCTGTCTTACATCTTTGACAAACAAAGAAACCGAGAGAAGGAAGTATAGAAGAATCCAGTTCCCCTTCATGCGTTCTGTTGCCAAGTACAACCATAAGTATAAAAATACGTGAAATATCAGCAAAGTAACGTCAAGCAGTTTCAGCCTAAAAAACATACAAAAGTAGACTTTCAGAAAAAAATTATTAATTAAGCCATCTTTAGACGAACACAAACTTCCAAAGTGAATTCTGTGTGAAGAAGCACTATCTAGTTGATGTTTTACTTTTGTTAAACAACAACAAATTATTTTGTCAATAAGAACGACTCATCAGTATCCAACAATACTCAATTATAAGAGAATTGAAAAAGCCTCCATTACTCATAATTTCTTGTGTGGGAGTACATTTGATAGTGATAGAGTTTAAAAAAATCTGAACTATTTTTGAGCAATATCACAATGCCATTTGTTAAAAACTAGGACTATTGTAACATTATAGCAGCAGCATAAGAAAGCAGCACTACTCCAACCTTGACTGTTATAATCTACATTGATTAAAGTTTGTGATTTGTAAAGCTTTTAAATCACTGAAAACAAAATATGGGGAAACCTGTCTATCCACAAACTCTGACTAAAATCATGTTTTATTCTTATTAACCTCCGAGATCTCTAGAAGGGTTTTAGCAGCATTCAATTTTTACTCTTAAAAAAAAGCATGGCATTTTGTTTGTGTGGTGTTTTTGTCTCTAAATCAGTTTGAGAGAAGGAAAGTTTCATTTCCATGTCTAACAATGCATGCTGGGAATGGAAATGGCTTTTTCATTTACGTTGAAGTTCTACGTGTCAGTTTCCTAACTCTTTATTCCATTATAAATGCATTTATTTAGAACACTAATGGAATAAAAAATAGTCAATTTTTTATTGTGGTAATGTGGTATAATTTTGTTAGAGAAATAATACATACAGTAAAACCAAATGACAGTCTATGTTGATAAAGTACTGCGATTTAACCCTTTTAGTATTTCACTTAGATCATATAGTCAGTGTTCTGAAAGAAAGATGTACTGCAACTTTTTGGCCAGGTTTTTCTTTGACTTTAACTGATTCTGCTTTTAATACATTATAAATTGTTTTGGAGACCTATAGCACAAAATATAAAAACATTAAACAGTTCTAGCTTCTCTTCAGTGAGTGGTAACATTTAGTTATGATGAGAGAAAAGGGAAATCATGCCACTAATCCATATAAAACATGCAATTTTATGATTTTGAACACGTTCAACTTAGATTTAAAGCAACACTTTATAAAATCAGGACTGAGAACTAAGATCTAAATGATGTTGGAACTGAAACTTTTACTACAAGAATAATTCTTGTTATCTGCTGAATGTTTTACTCTCACAGTAAAACATTCAGTGAGTGAACAGCAAATACATCCTGACAAGGTAAAGAAAATAGTTTCCTTTTAAATAACTTCCTATGTCTCCGTCATAAAAATAAAGCCACTGATATGTTTGTCATTCAATAAAAACATCCACATTAAAGAGTTCTTATGTCTTATGTATGTTGTGTCTACTGATTAGAACAAGATCCAACTTTAACATTTCTCAAAGTACTTTGACTTATATAGACTACCATCAGCTAGAATTATGTTCTGAAAATAATTAAACTTGATGTCTTGCATTGCCGTTATATAATAGACCATTAGAAGAAAAAACAAAACAAAAAAACAGAATTTGACTCAGAAGTAATATGTCGAGATCATCTTTTTTCTACTAACTATGAAAATAAAACTCCTTAAAGCTATGTATATTTAAAAAAAAATAACACAAGGGTTCAACCTGGATTCTTCTATAGGAATGTTTGAAGTCAAGAACAGACCAGGCAATGTTAGACGTTAGTCGGGTGCGGGACTTACATGGGTGTCCTCTCTCTGCAAGGGTATAGAGGGTGGAAAGTGACTATGTTAATACGTCAAAGCACAACACACACTAGACTGCGGTGCATCTGTAACGCACCCAAACAGCCAGGCAAGACCATTGTCAGCTAACGAGTGAAACAGGTCTGAGCGCACTGAGGAGTGTTATTATCATGCACAATTAAACACAGTCCCATCCAAACATATGCCTGCTGAGCGCTTATTGGGCAGAGTCAGTGTGATTGATAAGGCATAGTAATTTGAACACAACCATGTGGAGATGCAGAGAATCAACTGCTGCCGTTTCATCAGTGAGGTAAGGACGCAACCGCCTGCAATGCTAAACCCGCTTCAGGTAGACAGAGATAAAAAGAGCAGCTGAAAGAGCAGATGGAGGGGAGGACTCACCTGTCTGGCAAGCCAAGTCCACGTCCTTCTCGAAATCCGTCTAAGGAAAGAAAAGGAACACAAGACGAAATGCAGGAGTGAGTGAAACATGAGCATAAGCATGGATCTCAAAGCTTTAATGCTAGGATATGATCTGTTGCTGTGGAGAGGCTTTGCGACTCAGATTAGTATCGAGAACAAAAAGATGCTGCCTTAGGTCATTCATTAAAATATTTCAGTTCTTATTTTCTTCATGATGGGCTTGCTTACAGCCTTTTTTAAACCCCAACAAACCAAAACAGATTAAAATAACAGAAAATGTGCATGCAGCATACGATGCTGCAACACTGCTGTGATGCTGAATTTTGCCACAGCAGTGAATCCAGGAACAAACAGCAGAAAGGAAAAAACAGAAGTTTTCCTTGATACATAATATTACTGTACGACTCATCAGTCACCACATCAGCATCAAATGGAAAAAGAAACTGACACAAGAACTAACCTATTACCTGCTGTACCTAATGAGGCAAAACTTAGTCTCTCAGCTTGACAGAAAAATGAATAAATAAAATGTTTGGAAAGATACAAAGTCTTCCTGTCATCCAACCAATAATAAAAAGACGAAATAGGACTGCAATAAGTTCAATCCAGACTTGATGTTTAGAGTTTATGCAGAGAAAGTGTTGTGGACGTAATGAGGAATGACATTCCTTTCCAGGCAGAGTTTAACTAGACCAATTCAGAGCTGTGGCGCTCCTCAGAGTAAAGAAGCAGAGTGGAAAAGCCGTTATTTCCAAAGCAGCCACCACTCACTTCTTAGTAAAGTTTAGAAAGTAAAGCTCATTACAATTCAGCTGTAGTGGCCCTTTCTCTCCACACAGACACTCCTCCTATACCCTGTGGGTTTCACTTACAAAAGCCTTTATTTGGATAGTAAACTACAGGTTTTAGACAGTTTGGGCATGCCACAGAGGCAGAGAGAATGCAAAAGGTGTAGATGGAAACGGAGAGAGGAGTAAATGTGTCCCATCTCACCCCAGGAGCAGAAATAAAGCTTTTAATCTGCAAGCAACCCACAGCTCCATTTGCAAATGACTGAAACATGAATACAGAAATTATATCTGCCGTATATTTCGGACTATAAGCCGCTACTTTTTTCCCATGCTTTGAACCGTGCAGCTTAAAGCCTGTTGCAGCTTTTCTGTGGATTTGTCTTCAACCACCAGGGGGCTCTTTGGCAGGAAGTGAATCATTGGAAGTCAGAATTGGAAATCAAAGATCTGACAGTATTGATCAATAGTGCTCCACTAAGGGCTGCGTCCTTGTGGAAAACCGAGAATGGCAGATATATCAGTGGCTTATAATACTTGTACGTTTCCAGTTTTTTTAAAAATAAACTTTGTAGGTGTGGCTTATAGTATGATGCGCTCAATAGTCCGGAAAATACTGTAATTTCTTTTTTTACTTAAATTAATAGAAAAGTATATTTATTTTAACCACGAGGCATAAATGTTGGGTCAACCTAATAAAAAGAGGGACAGCAGTTGCAGTTTAAGGAAATTATTGTAAGCATAACATTCTTCATAGAGATTAAATTCTAACTGTTAGCTTAGGCTTACAACAAAACACACACAGTCACAGCTATTCCTACTCACACTTAAAAGGTGCAAAATGTAACAAAAATGAAATGAATGAAACTTCAACCTGATTTGGCCAAAGGAATAGTGAAACAATTGAACACACACACAAAAAAGATGTTGTATTTGGCTGACTTCAAAACATATCTGGATGCTATGGTAAATGGTTCAATTGTAGCCAAACACTGAAATGCTATTTTGCATCTTGAATGCAGTGACTCAATTGTTACATAATTACAATTTTCACAACCTTTGATGAAAAGTTTTACTAATGCATAAACAGCAACAGCGGTTCAATAAGGGGCTTTATTGGTGTAGAAAACAAAGTACCCTCTACATATCATCATATCGGTTAGCATATTGTTTATGTATTTATTTATTGTTGAGTATTTCAAAATTACCCAAAATGTAAAAGCACTTTGGGCAATTAAATGGTAGGGGCATGCATACATAGATAAAAAAAGAAAAAAAGAAAGATTAAATGCCTTTTTTTATTAGCTTGTATTTATTTTTTGTTTGTAGCTTAGTATAACATAGAACATTTTTTAAGCAATTTTAACTAGCTCTGTTCTGCTATCATTGCAGGTCAATTAGTGAAGAACATCCATATAGATGTTTTTTCAAACATCTATATGTTATATTCAAACTAATATAACATCTAAATTAGTAATTCAAATGACAATGATGTGTCACAACAGGACATTCAAACTACCATGCTAATTGTTTCAGTATCATCACATTGCAACACTGTTCAGCATACTCAGATAATTTCTTTTTTGTGTATTTAAATTGGTACTACCCTCAAACCTTCAAGAAAGTTTATCAAACAAAATTATGCTCAACAGAGGTTGAACTATTCCTTTAATGTCAGCATACATTTATGGTGAAATTTAATTTGACACTTTGCACCTTTTCCTCTAGACACCTAAGAGATCCTAATTACTAGGAAGTTTGTTTCCGAACTTGTTTCTACAGATGACATACTGATCGACTGTTGATGTGATTGGGGGTGTGGTTGTGGGTATTGTTGAGCAAAGGGGTGTGCTCATGTGTGTGACCGTGGTTCGGCACACAGTTGCGGCTGCTGTTAGGCAGTTCATGGTAACAGGCTTGCTGGCTTGTGTGGTGGCACGTCGGTGTCGGCAGCTGCGGATGACAGCCAGACAAACACAGGGGTGTGCTCTGACGAGAGCCGTGCTGCTGTCCACAAGAGCCCTTCTGATGACGAAAAAGGCGGAGGGGGGATTAAAAATTCACATAAAACATTAAGCTGCAAAATGTAAAAAAAACAACAACTTTTTGGCCAGTTTTTTGAGCATCAATCAAAGTGCACCTATTCAAATTATGTCTTTCGTTTTACTTTTACAAGAATTTTTAGAGACAGGTAAACGTCTTTACAGCGACTCCAAATGTCAGAGGTTTTACGTACGAATGAGACTTGCTCCTCTGTAGCAAGGGCACCTGCGTGAGCACTCCCTGTAATTTTGATGCTCACACAACGCACGCTGGCCTCAATAAATTATCCATCACAATAAATGTCGCCAAGGGTAATGTGTACCTCACAAAACAGTTGTGTGTGCAGGCAATTTAAAAAAAGGCTGTACAAAGTCCTAGCTATACGTGCCATCGTGAAACAAGAAAATATATTTATTGCCCTTTCTATTATTCAGATTAAGCTGTGTATGAGTATTTATTTAAATACATTTTATCTACAAAATGTACTTTATTTGAAAACACCAGATGAAGATAAAATGGCTCTGAGGACAAAGGGAAGGAAAACTGGGGGAAAAACTGACTTCCCGTGTGACCGTCCTGACATTGGCAAGGCACTCAACTCTTGGTGATTTATCACATTATTAAGCACATTTGGAACACAAACAACAACCTTACAGGAGCTCTGTTCTCTTTTGGTAAAGACAAAGAAAGCAAAGGTTAAAAGTCAAAAAAGTGCTAAGGTGTGTGGTCTGAAAGCACATAATTAGAGGAGTGAAAGTAATTAATTTTTAGTTTTTACCAACAGAAAAAAAACAACAAAAAAAGGACGGGAATAAAAGCATCGATGTGCAGAATATGATGGTGAGTTTTTATTTTGGAATGGCTAAAAAAGAGGCATGGATTTGTCTTCTTTTTGGAAGGCTTCATGTTTGAAAGCAAAATATTTGGGAGATTAATAAAAACACAAAGCGGATATATTAAATTATTCCTATAGAGGTAAACATGCTTATGGAGGATCAGAAGCGAGGGATGAACATGATCTCTTCATTCGCAGTCATGCTTTTTAGAATTGCATTTGAAGCTTGCAGGAAGTGCAGCCTGATACTCTGAGGTGAATGCACAGCAGAGTGGGATGAAATGGAATGCTATTCACCATGATCTGCACCTGTCCGTTCTTGCAGGAGTCAGGGGAGTTTTCGCTGTCATCTTTACATCCCCCCATTCGACAACGCACAGCGTCTTGCACCTACGGGTTGGAGCAGTTTGGGGAGGGTAGGGACAGCAGGGAGGAGCGAGTAGGAGATGCCGGAGAGAAAGAGGAAACAGACAGGAAAAGAGGGAGGGATAGAAATGGTAAGGGAGGAGGAGGAGATGATGCAAAGGGAAGAAGTTAGTGCAGGCACTTTGATTTGTTTGCTAAAAGACGGAACTCAAGGAAGCTGTTGTGAAGACTTTTGTCCCATGACGTTTTGAGTAAAAATGCTCATGCCCCTTTGAAAGTGGTCACACTACAACCACAGGTTTCAATGTACTTTCTGCTTATGTGATAGACCAACACAAAGTAATATGAAGTGGAGTAGAAATTACATTTCATCTAACAAACATAAATGCATCTTGAATTAGTTTTCATCCAATGAATAGCAACCTTCTTTTATTTTTTGCTGTAAAATAATTTAGAGCCTATAAATAATATTTCTTGCGATTCAGAATTATACACCATCTTTGACGTAAACTTATTCTGAAACATTGCAGTCTGTGTTTGTAATGTGGCAAAATGTGAAAAAGTTTGAAGTGGCACAAAACGCTTTTCCTCTCTGCTTTACAAATCTAACAACAGATCAAAGCCCTGTAAGGTATGCTAACATGGCAAAATTAAAGAAAAAAAGAAAAGTCATATCTTACCACTAGAAACTGAGTCTATTTATTGTCAAACAGATAGTGGAGTGCTACAAACAGCACAGAGCAGCACTTCAAAGTGGTCTGTATGTGCCTGGTGAGATCTGTGCCTCTAATTAAAACCAACAGAACAGTAAGGATGTCCCGACCCCTGGGCCTTCCTGGTGTCATATTGTCTTTCTTTATGTTTACACTCTAGGTTACACCAGTAGAAACTCCAATCAAATGAATCCCAAAAGTAACTCCCCCAAGATTCCTTCCGTGGCGCCAGGTCGTGTTTTATAGACGGCCTCCTTACTTTCCGGGGCGTAGCATCATTTCCTGAAGCTGACAATGTCAAATCCCAGGTTTTCGGGAGTGGAAACAAGACAGCCTTGAGGGAAGAAGTGATCCAGGAGGCTTGTTCTCATAGAGCCGCTCCACATTGCCACGTGTTTGTGCATATTGGTGCCACTACAAAAGGAATGGATTGCATCCCCATCTGATTAATACTGCATGGCCAAACATTTTTGCTCCATTGTTTCCTTTTGTCTGTCGCTTCTATTTATGATCATGCTCATCCTCTGTGGCATCTGTTGCCACAGAGTGCTTTCTGTTGGTGCACCGTGGGATAATGTGTGTGTATGTGTTGGTAATGAACTGCAGCACATTCCAGCTTTAGATTAGCTGTCCCTGCTGTTCTACCTACCTTAGCTGTGGATCTCTCATGCTCCTCCACAGCTACTGTGGGCTATTTGGCCAATTCTCACAATAATGTTCTCTTTCCCTTCCCGTCAGCTAAGATGAAAAGACGTGTCTTTGTAGGATTGAAGATTTGCCATACTCTACATTTTTGCCAATTCACCTGGACTATTATGTGACTTTTATTTTGGCCCCACACCTAATTGTGTGAACCTTGCCATCAGCTCCAGCTTTTTAATACACCTTCTTCTTCAGAGATGGCTAAATTCCAAAAACAGAGCGATTCATATTTTTGCAAACCAAAATGCAGACGATTAACATGGACTGCTGGGGGAAGGAATATTTTTTCAAGTTAATTTATTGCAACTTCCCTTCATATCTCTTCTTGGTTTTGATCTTTACATGTTCAAACAAAATAAAGTGAGAACTGAAAATCAATCAAAGAGAGGTGTATACTTTATGGAAACATTAAATGTTTAATCACATTTTACAGTGTCTCATACTGTTTTTCCATGCAATACTCCCTAATTGACCTTTCTCTTTCTCCCCTCTCCACTCCTCTGATGCACCACTTATATCAGTATTTGCACTCGAACTCTTGAAGGGAAGATTTTCATACATTATTACAATAAATGATTCCTGGAATTACAGTACACTGGTTCCTGACACTTTTGTGATATTAACTAAATGCAGTTAAGCGCTTGGAGCATTTGAATATTCATTTTTGTCATCCAGTGCATCAGGTTCACTCACAATGTCTTGCAGTGAATGACAAACAGCTGCTGCTCTTGTGTCTGCGTACATACTAAAATGTGTTAAAAAGTACATTGTACAGCCATTAATTGCAACTGGTGTGTCTGTGTGAGTATTTATGTCTGTCTCAAGGATACGGAAACTTGTATGTCCATAATGAGTAGAGAATGCAGAATCCCTGGAGGCAGCGCAAAGCCTCCGGATAAAAAAAAAACACTGGGGGCTGTTAGTTGGGGAATTATTGTCTTATTCCGTACAGCATCTCGTAAGCTCTTTAAAGCATACTTGGATCAGTCAGACAATAGTTCACCATCATGCTGCATTATGAGAAGAAGGTGCAGCAACCCGAGGCATAAACCCATCTGAACCACAATCCACACCCTCAAATGATTGCACTCGAACTCTTGAAGGGAAGATTGCACATCTTGCAGTCGGTCCTGCAAGATTTGCAGGACCGACTGAAGAAAGGATGGCCCTTTATATCTCATGAGGCAAATTTAATATGGAACAAAATCACACGATCACAACGCAGGCCTTCGTCAGCCGACATAAGAAGTAAAACTCACCTCTCGGCGCATAGCACAATGGACAGTGATTATGACAAAGCCTTGGACAGAATCAAAAACAGCGAAGAGGACCTGAAGGAGAAAAATACAAAACATCTTTTAGTTTTTATACATAGCTAACAAATTTATAGTCATTTATATTATTGGCAATTAGGCATCATAGAAAACGCAGTATCTTTCAGATTGCATGTCCTCGGTAACATGCCTCAAAAGATGCATCTTTTGTTACGGTGGTATAAGCATCTCATTGAGGTTCATTTAAAATAAAGCATAAGTACAATTTCAGGTGGATTCACAAACCTACGCAAATATTCCTTAATATAGGAATTTCTCAATCATTTTACCAAGTGAGACAATGCAAAGGTTTTAATGTAAACATTCATATAATCTTACATCTTACATACATATTATACCTTACATATATTTTGTCATATTTGATAAGTTTTTCACAAAATATAATTTGTCACATTTCAACTCCTTAAGTTCCTGACTTTTTTGGGGGGGATTTATCTAGCTTTATTGCAGCTGCATGACATGAAAAATCTTTAATTTTATGCCACTGATGCTTTTCTAAAACCTGCCAGAAACTTGGTTTAAAATAATAAACAAATAAATAAAAATAAATATCAGGTTATATATTTTTTTTAAATGTAAATTAACGTCTCCAGTCTGTATCACTCAGCAAGCTGACAGCCTGTTGATCTTTTTTTTCCCCCACTCGCAAAATTTCAAAGGTGCTTTTCCATTATGTGCCAATTGATATGCGTGTGCGTGTGTGTCAGCTTTTGTGACTGGCAGAACATTAACATGTGCTTGTTGTTGTTGCACACGTCACCTGGAAGAGTGTGGAGCGCCGATCAGTTATGGCCAGCACGGCTGACATCCAGGTCAATGCTAACAGAGGAAGAACCACACAGGAGCTCCACAGGGACGCCCTGTCAGACAGGAAAGAAGCACATGCAGGTGGGGGTGTTGTAGGGGGTAGAAAGAGCAAGGGATTCAGTCTCAAATCAGACAGGCCAGCTCTGCTAAGTCCTCGCATCTAAACACACACAGGTTAATCACAAATTCTACGGTGGGCTATTTCAAGCGGACTGCCACACCACAATTTGGATCATACTTAATATTCTAACTGATGAGTGGAATACAATGTGTAATCATGTGTAAAGTTCCGACTCCAACAAGCGCTCACAATTACATGGTTGATGGACTCTGATTGCCACACTGGGGGACCATGAGGCAACACGGGCTCGACAGGAAAAAAAAAAAAAAAAAGAAGACCAGACCAATGACATTAATAATGCAATGTCTTAAAAGGAGTGAGAAGCTGAGGACCCCAAATTCAAATGTCAAATCTATGTTAAAGCTGTTTAAGCAATGTACACAGAGGATATTACATATTGTACTAGTCAAAGTTTATCTTAGAATTTGCTTCTAATTATGCTGCTAATGTAATGAATCAAAAGTTGCCTCGTATTCATGTGAGATCCCAAGAAAACATACAAAAATATCAAAACAAATACGCTCAAATTATATGTTAAAATAAGTGGAATGATGTAAGGCAGAGATATTAACACATAAGAAAAAAGTAATGAAGAATTTAGCCAAAGATGTTGAAGTCTTTGTATTTAAAAAGCATGTAGTTGACATTGACTAATTGACTTCCAGTTGAAGGACTATAAAACTATCTTATACGCTGTTGAAAGAAGAAAAAAATCATAATGCATAAACATGCGTAACTATTTCAATAGATTTGTTGTAATGTTGTAGAGCAGACTACAAAAAAAATTCAAAAAAATCTACAGCTATTGGGGGCTGAGCAGTCATTCATCCAGCGGTCCGTTGTGTTTTTGAGTTTAAAAATTTTAAAAGTTTAAAGATTTGAAGACTGGAAGATCAAATGCAAATATTTTAAAAAGACTTAAATAAGCACTGATGGGAGCACAAGTAAAGCCTGGTGGCCCGCCAGGCTTATAGTACACTGGGAAAAACTGATTTAGCACGACAACAAGTAATAAAGACTTCTATTTAAATATAATACAATACTCCAGCACAAAAAGATACTTAATTAGAGAAATCATTTCAGAAAATTCTGAAGAAATCCTGAAACCTTTAAGCAAAGTAATTAAACATAGTACTTCTACAGTGCACAAAAAATATATTTTCTTATTTTGTTCACATTTCACAAGCTTAAACATTATTTCAGCAACAACAGATATTAAGCAGGTTGGACTTTCTGATTAAAGCTTGAAAGTACTTCCACTGGTGAACACTTAGCCATGTGGCAAACTAGAAGACAAGCAGCAATATAATACAAATATAAATATGGCCAAATGCTACTATACAACTAGTTGATCTTTAAAATGTCTAGGTAGTAAACCTTGTAAATCTAGATGGAAAAAAAATATTAACACTGCCTCTAAAAGTGCCACTAACAAAACTGAAAATTGGTAATGTCATTATATTAATTGGTAATGTCTCCAACCATGGGAAGACAAAGGGTAGACTGGGGTTACAATGCAAAACTAAGTGGCTTCACTGAATAAATAAAAAGCTATAATGAAAGAGTTGCACCACAACATAGATAATTATCCACGAGAAAAGATCTCTCAGACTATTTGCTCCGATCATGAAAACATGACAACTAATAGAATGACAATCCATTGTTGAATGTCAGATTAGTTCAGAACATAAATCGAAAAAAAAAAGTAGTCAAAGGTATAGATAGGTAAGTGCTGGGAACAGATATGTGCTCCATGCACCTATCTTCATTATTTTGCTCTGCATAAATTTAAGCAGAACACAATGTCCCTTTACTCAAATACGAAACAGGATGATCTTTTTCGAAGCACAGTGTTTACAAGAGAATTTCTTTCAATCATGATTCAGTTGATATTAAGGTTGTGTAAGCCCAGTAATTTATTGCAGAAGCACTATAAAGCTGCGTAAAGCACAATCTTTAAAAAATGTTTTCAATTTGATAAAAACATTTTTTTTATTTAAGTTTTCTTATTTTAAAACTCTACAGTCAATGTGCAGTTGTTCTGACAATTAACTGGATATGACTAATGACATTTTAAATTAGTTTTTAGTGCATTACTTACTGTAATTGCTTCAATGATTGGATTGGACTACAGATGTCAAACCCTGAATTTATGTGAATCCAGTCATACCTATTGTGCACCTGCAGCGATGAAAGAATATGCTGAAAAAAATTGGGAAAGTTTGAGTATCATCTACTTCAAGTTTCCTGTTTATTTTAATTGCTGTAATTATTTTTTTATGTACCTTTCAAGTTTTACTGTTTGTAGTTATTTTGTCATTTTTGTCTGGGATTATCAAGTTTGATATATGTGAGAAATAGGAGACTTTTTTTTTTTCCATTTGTCATATTAAGAGATATGAAAAAAAAATTACAAGAGTGACAAGGAGGAAGTGAACTCCTCTGGTTGTTTACTTACAGTTAGCTGATGTAAGCTGATTGTTAATGTAAAATGGTATAAATAGAGTTTAAAACCTGAACTTTTAAATCATGTAGTGGAAAAGTGTTACTTTCACTTCTAAAATAATGGATTAGTCAGTGCTGGCAGGTCAAAACTTGGAAATAGGCCACAGAATTGTAATCAGTGATGTTCTACTGAAATATACAATTATAACATGGGCTCACAACCAAGTCATAATTGTATATTCTATCAATCCTATTGAACACCTATGAAAAGATCTGAAAATGACAGTTTGAAATACTACTCTTAAAAAAAAAAGACAATTGGAGCATTTTTCTTCAGAATGAACTATAGCAACTGGTAAAGACAGAAATCTCACTGAGAAGCACATAAATCTCTAAAACATATTTACTGGTAGAAAAGGTGCAGATACAAAGTATTACAAATCAGTCCACCGTTTTTTAGAATAAAAAAATATTCAAATAAACAAGCACAACCAAAATATGACTTGCTTTTGGTATTAAAATAAATAAATAGTAATAAACTGTTGTCAGTTTCACATTTTTCAGTAAAGGCTTTGCTGTTTTCTTTAGGTTTTCTTTTTCTTAAGGTTGAGAACCAGCAAAATTGGTCATGTCTGTATTTAATTCCCAAACAAGTCAAAGTGAATACATGTTAGAGAGTAAAGGATAATGGAGGAGTCCATTAAACAGTGCAGTTTGTGCAATTAGGAAAGTGGTGTCTTTGTGTTTAAGCTTCTTTCATGCTGCTCTGCAAATATGTTTAAAGTAATTCTAGGAAGGATTAATAAATACTGTTTGACACAGGTCATATTTCTCTGTGCACCGAAAGGAGAGCTCACTTTGCATCAAAACGCACTCCCATTAAACAAGGTTGACTTGAAGTGCAGGTGTTTTCCCTTTCATTAAACTGTTTTTGCTTCCCAGACAAGTCTGAACACTGTTCTGCATCATTACCGACAGCCAGAGATTAAACGGTGGAGGGGTGGCAGTGGCGGTGGGGGGATAAATGAAGAGAAGATAATGTGAATTAAGAGAAAAAAAAGCAAGAGAAGGGAAGTATAGAAAGAGACAGATGAAGATGAACTAACTAACATGGCGCTGCTGGCCGTCGAGCTGGACATAGCAGTACTTGAGATCACGCCACACTTGGAGCATTTCAGGAGCAGTCGGCTCCGCGCCTCCGCCGGGACACTTTAGTTCACGCACACACATCCCATGTGGGGGAAAGAGGAGGGTGAGGGGGAAGTCGGGAGGAGGACGTGTGCAAATACACGCACCAGTGAAGAGAACGGGTGAATGTAATGGAGAATTTGAATAAATAAGGTGAAGGAAAGAAAAAAGGGGGGAGGCAATGTGGACAAACAGTGAATGGGGGAAAGGAAAAAATAATGGTAGGAAAAGGGGGAAGGAGAAAAGAAAAAAAGAAAGGTAAATTAAAACCAGATCTTAAAAACCGTAGCAGCAATGAAATACAGTCAGGATACAAAGATTGATTCAAAGCAAGTAGCGAGAACGTGAGAGACACACACTGCAACCAGTCATGGAATAACACATTAGAGTGACACTGACAGGAAGTACACCAGTTCTTTGGTTTGTTTTCATACTTTACATGCGGATCTGCAAGTTATTTATCGGTGCATGCACTGAGGCTTCACTACAGTGACAAGGAGGAAGTGAACACCTCCGGTTGTTTACTTACAGTCAGCTAATCAGATGGAGTGGAAGCATGTTTGCACATTGGTTTGTGCGTATGATTTAATACACGAGGAGAGTGACTGTGTTGGAGCTATGCTACATTAGCATCGTATCACAGATCATTAGTGGTTGGTACCAACAACGACTACCCCGTGGCTTCGAGAAGAAATGCATTTTGCCAACAGTTTGTCCTGCGAGCAAAACCACTAACCTCTCTGTTATAACTCTGCATGTGAGTACAAAATTTTACAGACCATAAGACACTTTTTAAATACTTTGGATGGTCCTTTGGTTTAAATATAAGTGTAAATTTTTATTTCTCCTCCCCATGATGCATTTGACTGAGGCATTAAATATTAATTGATGCAGACTAACATGATCCAAGGAGTAACTGTCTGCAGCTGTGAAGAAAGCTAATTGAGTGCTAAAAGTGGCACAGTTATGTCTCCAGACCCAGGTAGTTGCCAAGCAAAAAGCAAATAACTACACAACGCAGCACTGGATCACATCACCAACACAGACGAGGTTCCCCTACATGCTTGACGATTTCTAAATAAGAGCGAGTTATAGTCCAGTGTGACTTATATACAGGTTTTATTGTTTTGTTTTTTTTGTCTTCATGATATAATTTTATGTTCGAAACCTACTAAATTTAGATAACACCATGCTGTGGATAGCATAGAAAAGTCTTTCTAACTCTTTTCAGATTTTGTCTTGTGACAACCACAAACTTTATTGTATTTTATCGTGGTTTAATGATAAACCAATGCAATGTAGTACATAACTGTGGTGTGTAATGAAAGGCATGCTTAAAATGATAATGTTTGCAACACTATAGCCAATAAAAAAATTGTGTTTGACCGATCTTTATGCAAAATAGTCCATAAGTTCCATTTTTTCTTTGGGTTGAGAACAAGATGCTCTCTCCCTCGCCCCAGATTTCTTTGACTAAAATCTGAAAGTCATCTGTCCTTTTCACAGGTGGTAAATGGACTGGACTTATTTATCCAGTTTCCACTCAAACTGACCTCTCAAAGCACTTTACACTAGAACCACATTAGCACTCGCAAACATACACAGCTGCACATCAACATGTAACAGAAGGACTCAAACCTAGACAACTACTCCACCCAAAGAGTCACTACCAGTTGATGAAGTGGTGCTACTAACTTCAGTGTGGCAGCAGAGTGCTGGTTTAACCTCCAGATCAACATCAAGACATTGAGCTATTTGCCAGATTGATTGATTGATTGATTGATTGATTGATTGATTGATTGATTGATTGATTGATTGATTGATTGATTGATTGATTGATTGATTGATTGATTGATTGATTGATTGATTGATTGATTGATTGATTGATTGATTGATTGATTGATTGATTGATTGATTGATTGCACAAGCAATTCAGCTCCATCTGGACCAAAGTTGTGAGAATCTGGGTTCTCTGCTCAGGTTTGTCAAAGTTAATATTAATTAAACAGAACAAAAATGAAATTCTGTTTGGTCCGTCATGAGTTGAAAGACAAAAACAAATTATGACAATTTTATTGATCCTGTCAGTCAAAATGATAATGAAATATTTATACTGGAACCTGTGTATTTTTTTTACAGCTTTCCAGAGGTTCTCAATTGGAAATAGTTGTGGCCTTTGGCTTTCACAATTTGACACAGTACTATTTTAACATCATTCATTCAATTGGCACTACATTTACCTTATAAAAGGTAAAAGGGAAAGTTCAAACCCTATAAAAATCTTTGCAAGGCAATGACAGGAAATGTGCTCATAATAATCTTTCCAGGATCAGGAATGACTTAAACGGTATATGTGCACTTTAGGTATTTATACATCAAATAAGTTTAATCTCAGCCACGTCTCTGGGTAGCAAAAGCAAATCAGCCCCCTAGAGAGCAGGCCTATACAGTCATGAACAAACTATCAATTTTTGGGTCTCTCTTTTAGAGCTGCTCTCTCTATTCACATTACATTTCCAACTGCCACTGATTTTCATATCTCCCATGTTCATCTGTGTCACCCCGCTGAGAAAACTAGGTGGTTACCATTTGTGGAGGTGACGCCGAGATGCATCTCAGAGAGCAACAGCACATAGCAGATGTCTCGCCATCTCCTTGCCAAATTAGATCATATTTTCTGATTTTGTTAGCGGATGTGCAGGTGTACAGGTAGGTGCTTATGTGGAGAGACCCTCAGAAGCATTTTGAGTTATTTGCCAGGAAAATGTTGTCTGACAGAAGGAGAAATATGCCTAATTTGGCAAATATGATTTCGGTTTTACAGCAAAGAAAAAAATGCCTTGAACAGATAGAAGATGTCGGTGTGTAGGTGTGGGGTTTTTTTATGTGATTTTTTAAAGATAACTTACCCTGCTCGCTGCTTTTTAGACTTGTCTGAGATGCCGTCTCGAGACATGAGCTTGTTGAACACCACAATCCCAATGAGCATGTTCACCTGTTAGATGTAAAGAGAAGAAATCGTCATAATAGGCACATAAGTCAAAGCTGGTCTTTGATTCTCATTCAACACCTCATTGTATGGGTCAGCCACTCTGAGGGTTAGCTGTTCTTGAACACAATTTAAAAAATGCCTCTTGCCAAATACAACTTGATCTTGGAAATGCATTTGAACACTTGTGTTGTCCACATTTGCTGACTGGAGCTTTCAAAGCAATTACACCAGTTGACATGTTGGATCTTGTGAAAATATGTAAGCAAATTGTAAGAAAAAAAAATCGGAAAACATTTTAGGTGAACATGAGAACAGAGAAATTTTAATGTGAAAACAGGACACTGATCAGTTTCCTTGCTTCTTAAACTAACGAGCAGGTTATTTTTAGCGTATTTAACAGCTGGTTATACTGATCCTGTTGCACAGACTTAAAATTAGACACACACACATACACAGCTGAGCAAGTGCTTGCAGAGCTCTTTCACTCTAAAATCCTGCACATCTGGAATATTTTCTTTCCTGATGACATGTCTCTCATAAGTCTTGTGTTCAAAATAGAGTTTCAGGGCAATGATCTGCTCGTGCTTTCTGTCAGCATCAGTGGGAAGCAATTCTCATACACTCGTGCATGTTACCCTGGCCTTCATTTCTTCCTTTCAATTGCCCACGAAAGCAGGTTCTGGCCAAACGAGAGAAATCGTTTCCTTGATACTGCGGAAATCTTCAGAACTCAGCATTTTGCATTGCATTGAAGTTCATGTCACAACTATGAACTTCAATGCATTTTAATGAGACCAACTGAAGGAAGCTTTCCATACTTCTCATGGAAAGAAAATGTTGCATGATTTATTATTTTTTTTTAGTAAATAATAACTGGAAAATGTAGTGTGAGCTTTTGCACTTATTTATTTATAAATATCTGGCCATTAGGGACTTTCTACAAAATGAAATGCTATTATGTTGTCTAACTGGGTTCATTCTATTTGGAGTGGTGAGGAAAATCTGTTGCATTTCAAAGTGTTAGAATTTTTTTTTTTTTTTTTTTTTTTTTTTTGCTATTTCCCATAGCTTGGGATGGTTTCCCATGCTATGGTGGTGCTATGTTTCAAGCTAATTTCCACTTCACTGTCAGTTTTTTTGTTGTTATTGTTTTTGCACATATGCCAGAATTGCTCCTTTTCTTGTCTAATGCGGAAAAAAGTGCTTTTATTAGCACCTCCACATGTTCTCTTGATCTTAGGCATGGATTCTGGGAAACTGATTTTCTTTGACAATGGCTTTCTTCTCGCCAATCTTCCGCCGAGGCCAGATTTATGGAGAGCACCACTAAAGAAACAGTTAGTCTCAAGAGTAAAATAGGCTGAGTACGTATGCCATACGCCAGGACTTTTCAAAATGTAGGTCATGCCTCCCCTAGGGGGCGCCAGAGTTCTTGAGGGAGTTTGCTGTATGAGGGGAAAAAATAAACCAGAAAAAGCAACTTACCCTTTAACCACCTTTGCTAAGCCTATGGATAGATTTTTAGTAACTAAAGCTATAAAGGTAGTAAAGGTTGGTTTATAGTTGGCACTTTGAATTGGCTGCAGGTGTGCATGGGACAATAGCATCATTTGTACCACAGTGCTGGTGTTACATGTTATCATGGCGCCTAATCGTGCACGTACAAATTTATGTAACTTGCCAAGTTTCACTCGTACCACATTTCACTCAAGCTGGATGATTTGGAAGTTGATCTTGCAGAATACATTCAGCTGTATAGGCATGTATATAATAGTTCAATGGGGGGAAATTTTTTGTAGAATGATCCATCACCAATATATGCCACAAGTAACTTAATGTGAATCTCCAAAAGCCTGCAAGTAACTTAAAGAGACAAAGAATGTTTGATCAAGATTTTTGAAATGTTTTATTTTTATGGACTGGATCTGAAGATGCTCCTCTGCCACAATGTTGTCTGCCAAGCCTTAAAAGTTTTTGACGGCAGGCTAAATGAACTGTGGTGAAAGCAGTAGGTAGTTCATAGTTTTAGCACAGAAAATGTCACAGCAACTTAAGCACCATACCCTGTGGGGCTATACATAGCTTACACTCTACCTTGTCTATTTGCTCTTTGAAGGGGGCTTGCTTACCCAAGACTCTTATTGTATACCAAAGATTTTTTTAAGGAAAAAAAAAACAATGTTGCAAACCCTAAACTCTTTTCCTTCCTTTAGTGTGTCACATAAAATCCCAATGAAGTAGATTGATGTTGTTTGCTGTAAAGCTGTATAATGTTGAGAAGTTTAAGGTCTGTCTAACTGTTACTCTCACTTTGTGACATATTTCAGGGGATTTATCTGTCTGCTGAAAAATTCTCCTCTCCATGGTCTCCTCTACACTCATCGTGCCACGGTTGACAATGAGCTCTGGAGCACCAGATTGAAGGAACGAATATTGTCATGCCGGTCATGTCTGGCACCAGCTCTGTGAGTCAGCATCATCCTGTTCTGCTATTTGCTCAAGGCCAGGTTCATTAATTAGAGAAGAGTCCGGCGGGAAGGTCTCTGTGTTTCTGTGCCTGAAGTCCCACTCTCATTACAGCTGTTTGTTAGAGCGGAGGCACCGACGACAGTACCAGGGGGCTGGGCGCCATGCTGCAGCTGCGATTTGGAGCATGCTTCGACATTGTGGGGGCAGCAGTGGAGGAGGAAAGCTGAAAATAACGGGCAAAGAAGTGAAAAATCAAATCTTAAAATGCATTGTAAGGGCCTCAAACAGAAAGCAGCTGTTTTTCATTTCTTCCGTCTTGAGGACCTTTCAAGTCTCATCTGAAAGGTTTTTTTTTTAGTTTTGAATATGTTGGGGTTATCAGACTTTGGTATAAAACACTTTGAACTACCTTGTTGCTGAAATGTGCAATGAAAAAGAACTTGACTTGAAGTAAGTATTAAGACCAAGACCTGTTAATAGGGCCATTAAAATCATGGCCATAAGAATCATGTGAATCACAGGACTTATTCTCAATTTATTTCTACGCTTGGTTTGGTGTCACTTAACTGACCAAAACCTGCCATCTCTAAAATTTGTTCTGTTCTTCTTACATCTCCACTTGTAGGGCATTTTCCAGGGCATCCAGGGGAAATTTTATTGATTGAATGAAAAGGTCCGAGTTTTAAATTGCCTGGCATGATGCACTGAGTGAGTCATTATATTTAACTTCCTCCCTGAACTGCTCCCTGGTGGGTGGGTTAGAGCGAAAGGTGGTAAAGTGGAAGACAGACGGCATAGAACAGGCTGCGCTACAGTATTGCAACTGATATTTAACAAAGCGCAAGTGTAGCTTTATGAACAAGCCGCAAAATAAACGTCATTCATACCATCTGGGTTGCAGTAAATGGGTGGCCCTAATGCTCACACACCTTTCCCGTCCTTAAATAAAATAACTCTTAACATACATAATTCAGCCGGTACAAAAACGTTGATAGGAAGGTACAGATTTCAACTTTCACATGTTTGCAAAAAAAAGTGTAAATAAATGTTCAAATTTGACTACAGCTTTTTGGAATGAAGATCAGTAAGTGTAGGCCACAAAAATCTCAAGAAAACATTGCAAAGTCCTGAAAGGACTGAAAGGTGAAAAAGACAACGAAGGGAGGCACGGACAAAAGAAGGAAGAAGTGGAGGGTGAGCAGTGGAAGAAAGAAGGGACAGACAACAGTCATAAAATTTGTTAACTCCTCGAAAAAGCCCCGCCAAGCTCTCGTCAGAAATTCAGATACAAGCATCCATGTCCCATCTGGGACATGAATGTGTCTGATCCATAGTTTATTTCCTGACATGTGTACGACAGCAAGCATGACAGATCTGATGCCACCCAACAGTATCAACAGCCAACAGCCACCCAACAGTGGCAACAATTAGCAATCTAAGATGTAGTGCACTCTATCCAGACTTATTAAACCTAATGGCAGAAATCTCCACCATGAGATTCATTAAGCACGAATTATCACAGCTCCGACAAAAACAGACAATTAAGACCCCACTGAGATGCAATTATGGCACTACATTGTACTGTAGAGCTGAGTTTAGGTAGATGTGCATAAAAAACGTCCAGCCACTGAACTTGGTAAAAACAACACACACAGAGCTATATTTGTGCCCCACCATGTTCCTTTTAAATTTATGGTCAAGGACAGGCTTCAGCCCTAGATGCATTTGGTTCGGTGACTCATGCTCTGAAAGCACGCATTACAGGGCGAGTTTAAGGGCAAGAATACAGCTATAATTCAGTGTAGAAATCTAATATATAGCCAAAAGCTCTTGTCTGCTTACACTGTATTTTTTTTCCTGGGTTGACATTTTAAACTCGGAGTTCAAGGGTCTCTGCTCATCATTTTGACATGTGTGCTTCTAAAGTGACGGGCGAAGAGCAACTGAGGTCAGCATTCATACTCGTTAATGCCATCAGCTTTTAAGGGATGGTGCATATCAGAAGTTTGATTTTTTTTTTCTTTTGTCTTTTAGCATTTAAGGTCAGTATTGCTAAACTTCATTTTATGTATGCTCCTTACAGCACTGCTAGTTTGGCAAGAAGCACCTATTAAAAATCAATATATAAGAGTTAAGAATCCTGTCAAAATCAATATGAACCTTATGTTGAGCACATTTAATGATGATGCATATCCAAACAATGAGGATGCGAAAATATTTTGTTGGAACTGTGATAAATGTTGCTAACTTATGGTAGTATATTGAACATATTTATTAGTCATTTAGGGCACTTTGTGTGCAGTGGGGGTGTTCACTGAAGAAGACAAATATAAGACAATTGTAATGTATGCATTCAAAATGTTAACATGCTGTATTTTGTTGCTTTATGCATCTTTCTCTCCCCCATGGTCTTATGTTGTTGCATTATTATGACATGCTTAAATACTAAATCATAGGAATCCAGCTATTAGCATTGACCATATATAGGCTGTCACCAGAGGCAACACTTGTTGAAGAGGGTACTGGTGCAAGCCTTCAAAAGAATTAAAAAAAAGGCCATAATAAAATCAATATTATTACAAAAAAGAAGCTCCTAATTGCCCTCTTTTTATTATCATCTGTAACAGCAAACAGTGAAAGAATAAAAATATAAAATTGACCAAAAACAATGTTTCTCGTTATTTGGTTGACTCAGTCCTGAGCTTGCTCTGCACAGTTTACTGTGGAAGAGAATGAGGAGAAGAGATATGGATATCGATATTGTCATCATGCAAAGGCTGTCCATATTCTCAGCTGAGGCTTTCCCAACACAGAGAAGGAACAGGCAGGAAAGAGGCCCCAGTGCTGAGGTGTAGCATCCTTGTGACATTTTTATTAGCTACAGCAGAGCTATGTTCAGGCCAAGATGCAAGATACCATAATTATTATATTATTACAATTAGTTACTAATTATAAGTGAAAAAAAAATGTATGATTAAATTAGCAATAAATATTTTTACAATGACTACTTTATTTGAAGTAGAATAACACAGATTAGGTAAGGTGTATAACAACATCTATGTTTGCATGCAACTACATTTAGGCAAAAGTAAAAAAAAAACAAAAAAAAATCTATTTCATGTGTGCGAATTGGGTAAATGTATGTTACATCTTTTCTTTTTGAAGTCCTGACTCCCATTTTAGGATTAAAGCTGCAGATTGAGTCCCATTTTGTTGAGAGTTTGTGAGAGACTCAGAATCCCTCTGCTAAAATTTGGGCCAATTGGTCACAGTCACAAATATTACCCAAATTTTCCAATCAACACTTCACCATCATTAAGAGATTTCAAACTGGTGTGTGAAGAGTTCAGTTTTAACCAATCCAGTCCGCTTACTGATTCGATTAAGTCTCTTGGCTGACTGTACATTGAACATGTATTAGTTTTCAAAAAACATGACTATTTATAACAATCTCTCATTTAATCTTGTCTTGGCAAGTTTTGAATATCTTTTAAACTATTCACCTCAATTGTGAACACAGAGCCGATGGAAGTCTAAATTACTACTGCAATTGGCTTAAACAATGTTAAGACATGTTCCAGAACCAGGTTGAATCCAACATTAGCAAATATTCTATATCTTATTTATGTATTTAATTGGTCAATTCAAAATTACTGAATGTGTATGTTTAATATGGTAAAAGTAGCGCCTTAACATATAATTGATATATGTATATATATATATATATATATATATATATATATATATAGGACACATTATCTCAAGCAGCCAATGGAACATTGTCCACAAACTTTTAAGGTCCATCATATTCGGATAATGTGTGGAGGGAGCAAAACAATCATGGACCACCATCTAGGGCGCCAGGTTGGCAAAACCATGCAATGGTGGGCAGACTCACCAGTACAATGACAGCAGCAGGACCAACGAAGGCATAAAGCAGGCCGCCCTCCAAAGACAACCAGCAACTAGAAGAAAACAGAAGCACAGCACAGATTGAGGGCTCACCTTTCACTTCAGTGCGAGAGCTGATGAAACTTTAGGTAAAAAAAAAATAAACTTAACACAAATTTATTTGGTGAAGGTGTCCAACTAATGGAGAATTTATTGCCCTTTATTTTTATCGCTAAATGAAATTGCTTCTTTTTGTTTTACTGGAGCCTGTTTTCTTTTTATTAAAGATCCACTGATGCCCAGCAACAAGAGACAGATTTTTAAAATAAATTTTGGTGACTCCTTAGTTAGCAATGACTCCCTGCCAGCCTGTGCTTAGTCTTCATGGTAACCGATATCAGCAGTTGTGTTTTCATGCCTGGCTGGATATCGAGATTGCAATGACGGCTTTGAAAAATCAAAACAGGAGCCTCTAACTTCCAGGTATCTGATAAATCCTCTTATGCAAAAGGCAAAGATTTAGTTGAAAGAAAGAAATGATTAATCCCACAAGTTTGTGTATTCAAAGTGCTCTTCAGGATTGCCTGGTAAAAATTTACTTTCTGTTGACTAAGAATCACTAAGAAAAAAAAAAAAAAAGTTAAATACTTCTGAAGGAAGAGAGCCCACTGCATTTATGCATGCAATCATTCAAAATTCATCTTAAGAGCCTATGACTCTAAAATCTGTTTGTGCTTTTTCATCAGATCATTGCATTGCCTGGAGGAGGTTGTTGTTCTGAAACATGAACCAGCATGATCTGGGTTATACATAACAACTGCTTTTACTGAAACATTTAACAATAAAACGTCACATCATCTTAAAGATTGATAAAAATCTTGTGTAAATGAGCCACTGTGACGTTTGCAATTATTTCAAAAATAAACCTTTTATGAGAGAAAGTGACTGCCATTATTTACCATTAGTAAAGTAAAAAAAAAAAAAAGTTCCTCTTTCAGCCCAGTAAAATATGACTTTTTCTGTGGTTGAGAGGTCTTTTGATAAAATGCCACAAAAAGGCCTGGAGTCACTGACTACATGGAGCACTCCATCTCTTCCTTGTGTTGTGTACAACTACTCAACTACTCAAGGCCACTAGTATTCCCTTGTTAAAAAAAAAAAAAAAAAAAAAAGAAAAGAAAAATCAGCTGTTTGAAAATATTTCCATCACAAACTATTTAGCAAGTTAAGTTTGAAAACTAAAGGCGCCTGTCTACTCCAGGCAGGATCATTACTAACTGCAAAGCAGAGCTCCACTTTAAAAGAAAATAAAAAAATAAAAAAGTAACAACCCCTTTAAAAAGTAGCAGTCACGCAGGTGGTGGAGAGAGGAGGTGGATAATTTGCACACACTTACATTTTTATATTGCATCTAAGCTATAATAAACACACACATTTTGGCTCCTTTTAATGCATAAACTATGTTTTAAGTGTAATTCCAGTCTATGTGTGAGGGCTTGGAGTCTTCCAAAAACACTCGGGGATGCTTTCTCTCGTAAAACCTGATAATGTAGTCATAAATACCGCAAGCCACAGAGAGATACTTAAAGCTTGAACTGTAATTTCCGAAAGCGATCAAGTGCCTTGATGATACCTTCTTTTAATTGCATTGAGAGCATCATGTTGAGCTTATTAAATAAGAATCATGTAAATTCCATCCAGTTCAGTCTTTATATCACCACATTTTTTTAAAAGGTACTGATATACAGCACACTGAGAAATTAGGGGAAACTGGCACCTTTGGTGATGCAATAAATATATTATTAAATCATTAACAAAAACAGATATTGGTAACAATCCAGATCTGATAATCACCTCTGCATGGTATTCTTTAAGAGCCTTCTGCTTGTAAACATACAGAGAAACCAATGGAAATCTGGCAGAAAGACCAGCGAATGCCACTACACCTCAGGCCCATTTGAGAGCTAGTGAGAGGAAGAAGCTGCTATTAAGCAAAGGCATCCAAATTGAGTGGTGATTAGAGCGCAAGAGCAAGCAGGGAGTCTGGGCAGAATACTTACTAGCTGGCGGTGCCATAACCTCTTGCTCTGGTGAAACCCACCGACACTGCAACAACAAGGGCTGGAAGACCTGCAGTGAAACACACGCAGAGAGAAAAAGATCAAACGGCTGAGACAAAGGATGAAAGGAAGCTTGGATGGTGATGGGACACATTGGCACAAGACACAGTGAGAACAACTCTGACTCTGCTCGACGAAATGCAAAGCTTGCTTTGCACAGCATGAACGGGTGACTGAGACCGATTTGATTTTGTGTTGTGCATATGCTCCCTTAAAAACACTAATAGACATGGCAATGTGTCTACACACATGCTATTTGAACTTGTTCCACATTTGATCAAATTCTATGTATTTTCAAAAAAGTGCTTTCAAAAAAAAATTGTGTGCACAGGCGAAAAGTTGGGAAATATTTGACAAAAAAGCAACATTCCATGTAATGTGCAGCTCAATCTGTCTGTCTCTCTGTAAATGAAAAGTAAGCGTGACTGCTGCAGATCGCCTGCGTGCAAAAGAAGGAACATCGCGGCGCCCGTAATGGGTTTGGCTCTGAAATATTCTCGTAATTAACAAAGCTGTGATTATGGCTGGTAATGAAAAGCAATTAGAAAAAGTCACATTAACTTTAACAAATAAGATGGTCGAGAGCCAAGTCTGTCCACCAAGCAGCCTGCACCGAGTCTCAGTTAGTCAACAACATCAATCTGGCGTTTACTTGTATAATGCGGTGAACACACAAACACACTCACACCTATGCATATACGTATCTGGCTCCGACCCAAATCCAGTTTCACCCTAAAAATCTCCTTTCTCCTTGGCAACAGATTTCAATCGCATAATTTGCTGGGAAAATTGCAAAATGGACGGAAGAAGGATAAAACATTTGATCCTCTCCGTTCTACCCAAATGTTTCATGCGTGTCATGTGCGTCTGGGAGGAACGTGCCGCAGCCACCAGCCCACGCCCTCCTCCCTCTCTCTGTGTCAGTATCTCCCCATCTGCGACCGTGGAGCAGTCTATACATTCTCTGCCTCTATCAGGTAAGGGCATCAGTGACTTGGCAGATTAGACTGCTGGGATCAATACTGAGTGAAATGAGCAGATTGTGTCCGTGTGGGTGTGTGTAGGGATGGTGCAGTGTTGTAATTTCCAGGCCTATCTTGAAGCATCTCCCCGTGTTGTGCAGATGTTATCATACCTTTTGATTATACACCGAACATTCTCCGTCCATGTTGCACCTGGTTGTACAACACTGAGGAGACGGCATAATGGAGTAACATGGAAGGTGAACGAAAAAGGTGACATACGGATGAATAGCGGCACTGTGCACTCTCAGTGAGCAGTGCTTTCTTGTCCTTTCTTGGCGCGTGTGAATGAGGAAAATGCATTAGGAAGTGTAAATATGGCTTTTGGGACACAAAGCAGTAAATAATTGCTTATAGAGCCGACGAATAGTGTATAATGAGAATGCAGGGAATGAAGATTGTTAAGCATAATACGGGCAACAATTTCAACACTGCAAGATAATAAGCGGTTACATTTCCATTCTGAAACAAGCCGGTCTTGCTGCCCTCCATCACTAATGCACCTCACATGACACAGCTTCAATCAGCACCCAATTCAGAAAACTGTAATTATTTGCAGTGGGACACAGGGACAGGATAGAAGTCCACTAAAAGTAGCAAGAGAAAGTTTTGTTATTTACAGAAGTATATAGTGAAAGTATTGTCGAATATGTTCTGGAATAATAGATGCTAATTTAGTTTTTGAAATAGACTGGTTCTATCAAGCAGCAACTCCAACTACTGAAACTCTCAGAGTGTCATGTTCTGTGTTTCTCTGTGTGTTCATTTTGAGTTTCTGGGTTCTCCGTGTTATTCTGTCTTCCACCTTGATTCCTCCCTGGTGTGTCTCGTTCCCTGATTACCTCTTGTGTATTTAATGTCACCCGTGTTTCTGTGTCTCCGTCGGGTCATTGTCGTATGAGTCGTTCCAGTCTGGCTGGCTGTCTGCCCTTTTGTTCCAGTTTCTATCAGGCTTCAGCTCAGCTGAGCTGCCTGGATTTTGGACTGTTTTGTATTGTTTTTTTTATTATTAAACTGTCATCATTCACTCCAACTTGGATCCACCACGTCTGCCTCATCACCCCACTACCACACTTTATGAAAACGAGAAAAAAGCACTTATTCTCATTGCTATTTCAGCGTAGCTCTAAAAATCTCAGAAAAAATTAAGCCTGGTTGGTAAACAACACAAACATGAACAGAGGGGTTTGAATCATCTCAAAGCAATTTTAATTCTAATCATATTTATGAATGGATGGGTGGATGGTCTTTGGAGGTCTTCATATTTTCCCCATATTACAGCTAAAGATGTAACGTATTTGCGATTAACCAACATACAGTGGTGAAAAAGACTTTAGTCAGATGAAACAAAGTTTTACATGTTTGACTTACAATGCAAGATGTGATTGAACACAATGCTACACATCTCACTGTCATCTTGTGTTTCTGAGAGAAAATGCTTTTTGTTTTGTTTGCATGGTCAGGGAAAACTAGTGAGGGTTTATGGGTGCAGCAAAATACAGCCAAAGCTACAATGCTAAAATGCAATCACTTAGATTCCAAAGCATTCATGTGCCTTTACTTTTAGTGAAGTAAAATTCCAAGCCAAAAAATATGTAGACAGATTTTTTTAAATTTTACTTTAAGTCTCCAAGGCAGAATGGGAAGATGTGTAAAACTGATGGAGATCTATCCTTCAAAAAGCATTGGATGAAATGTGTCTCCTTAAAGTACTGATTATATCTAAATACACAATGAATAAGTTAGTGTTGTTCTATAATATTATATTCTATATAGAGTTTGTAAAGTGGAAAAAAGTAAATGATTTTAACAACTCCATGGTATCTGAAATACAGTGGTCTACTCCCTTTTTGTCCCCATACTTCAAAAAGACTTCAAAAGTCCTGAAATCAAATTTGTTGCTGCTCCAGTCATCATGGGATCAATAACAATGTAATGTATTTCAATTTGGTCGAGAAACACTTTGGTGACAAGCAACCAGTAGAAGATCTTGGGTGAAAAGTGTCCTGGGTGAGGTCCCTATCACTCTTAGTCCACAACCATTACACCAATGCTTGTAAAACATTCCTCTGGTCCCACTGACTATTTATTCACACATACTAATATCGGAGAATCATCCTTTCTCCATTTAGGTTCTTGGTGTATGAGGTTGAAGAATCATGAATTCATGAATTCCATTTCTCAACACTAGCAATATATCACCAGCCCATTTATTCATGCTATCCTTATGGGCTAACAGAGCAAAATGGCATGTAATAACTAGTTCTCTTTGGTGGCCTGCCCCTAAGCAACACCCTGAAGAGAGCGTTCCCTAGCATGTAATTTTCTGTAACATTAGCTCTGCGTAGGTGTGCTCAATGCCTGTGCATATACAAGCATCCAAATCGCTAAAAGAGATAGAGGAAAACACAGATTTATTATTTATACTCAACACTAATTATAGACAAGTAGCTTACAGGTGAGAAATCAATGGGTATCAGCTTATACGTTATCAAACCTTCAGGTAAGAGTTGACAAGCTTTCGATCAGTTGTGTTTCTAAAGTTATTGGATTTTACACAATCAGAATTCTTTGAGAATGGATGGATTCACTCAACCACCATTACTGACAGACTGCAAAATCAATCAAGTTCAACTGTATTGTCACACCAACATTCAAATATGTTCAGAAATAGGTTTTGTCTTTCAGATTGAAGGTTAGCTATTTAAAAAAGGCTGCTATGAATACAGCAGTTCATTGAACAAGTTGTGTCTATGCTTGTTGTATCTTCAACATGAGCAACTGCATACATATTTTATGGTGAGCAGGCATCAGGAGTCAAGCGCAATCATAAACGAGGTTCAGACAAATATATAACGTGGAATGGATCGAGCACGTGTATACTTACCCCAGCCGAGGCACAGAAAACGCTTGCGAATGATGCGTGACCTTGTTTTGCCAATGACAGCCAGGTAGGACTGCCATGCCTCAGTTAGCACCCAGCAGAAGGATGCCAAGAAGAAGAAATGCAGGAAAGCAGCAGTCACAGTACACAGCCCCTGCAGCAAGGCAAGAAGTAAGCAAGAACTTAAAGCAAGAAAAAAAACACAGATTCCTTACAAAAACACACAAATGCATAGAGAAACTAGTAAAGGCATCAAATAAGGAGAAAACAAGTGAAACTTCCACAGAACAAAACAGTAGGTAATCGAAAACGGCAATCTAATCAAGAGCACTCTTTGTTCTTTAATGTTGAAGGTGGCTTTGCTGTGTTCTTCAGCTAGATCGATCCTGACTGCCACACGGTGAAGGCTTGCTTAGTCAGACAGCTCAGAGAGGGGTTTGCCAAAAATGTCAGCATGCTGCTTTGAAACCTCCACTGTATTAAGCTCTAAATCCTGTAAGTTGTTTCCCTTTTGTTTTCAAAGCTATTAAAATAGGCATATTTGAATTTGTGACCATCATAGATAAAGGTCTGTTTTTATATATATATATATATATATATATATATATATATATATATATATATATATATATATATATATATATATATATATATATATATATATATATATATATATATATATATATGAAGAGTGCTTTACCTTGTTGAGTGTTTGAGATTGTCCGAGCAGAATCAGTAAATTGGAGGCCAGGATGGAGAAGCAAAAGTTGACCAAGATGATCGATCTCTCTGACCGGATATACCTTAGGAGCAGAAGATTAGAAAGATTTAAAAAGTCACATTCAAAGCTCCATAGATCTTTTTCTTTTTCTCGTTTCCAAGACAGCTTAGTCATCAGATTGATTTTGGCACCTGTAAAGAGTATTAGTAAAAGAGAAATAAAGGAATCAAAGAAGGGAAATGCCAGTGATCAACCCCCTCTGGATTATTTTGTTCTTTTTTACGCCTCTGTCTTTTTTTTTTTTTTTTTGTCGCCATAGCTGATGGACACAAATTAGGCTTTTTTTTACAATTTGCAATGGCAAAAACCTGAAAAGAAAATTTGCTTTGTGCAAACAGGAAATGTGTAAAATACAGATGTAGGTGTCACTATTAAATGTGTGCGCATGCAGTCACCTCCAAAAGGCAGCGTAGATGAGCAGCAGGATGAGGAGAGCAGTGCAGGACACTCCACAGCCCACCATAAGGGGCACTGAGGGCATGCTGGTAGGACCCATGTCCTGAAACACAAGGACAGAGGAGAAGGCCGGTTAATAATTAGCGTATCAGTTTTTTCTACTTTGGTCAACAGAGAATGAAGGCCCGGCTCATTTTACAAGTGCATCTCAATGAATTGGTATATAATGTGAAGATTAATTTGTTTCAGTAAATTAACTCAGAAAATGTTGCTCAAAGATTTATTATACATAACATGATGTATTTCTAGAATGATCATTTTGATGAAAAGAGCTGTACAGACAGTGAAAATTCGATAATATGTTGTCCTACAGGGCATGTTAGTCGCACTCCACATCATCTGATGGCCCCAACACTCTGGTATGGACTTTGCGTCACTATCCTTGCAAAACAGAGGACAGTGTTGCTTGTGCACATTTTGCTTAACCTTCCTCCAGAGGATGTCAGTAACTATTTGCTAAACAACTGTGGAGTTAGCAGTTTTGCCCATAAAATTGTTGGTTGAAATTATTTTTTTAAAATTGCCTTTATGCAATGTTTAAAACTTCTCATTGATTAAACATTTTGTTTCTATTTGCACTCAAAAAGGAAACTCAAAATGTTAATACATGTGTAAAATAACCAAACAAATATATTTGTTTAATGTTTAGAAGTATTCCAGCTGGGCGACATGAAACTGCACAACACAAAGACACAGGAAGACAGAAAAAGAGATGGAAACATAGCAGATGCCTCATTTTTATGGAATCTTATTTCAAGAAAAAAAAATGGTCAAAATTAAAATTGCAGACAAATTTAGAGACGGTTTCTTCTTCTTTGCTAGGAAATAACACATTGGTTGGTATATCATTTGATACACAAAAATATGAAATCAAATGTTTGTGTTTTGAATACAAATTGAAAGGGGACATTAAAAATTAGCTGAGGAAGAAAAAACATCTAGAAGAATAGCACAAAGTCCAAACTCAAAACAAAGTCTTATTAAGTCCAAGAATGGATGGACTTCATCAACAGGAACCGATGCAGTTAGATGAAGCATCAAATTTAAACAGATAATAGATCAGAGTAAACGGTCCAAGTTAACAGTCTTTCAGTAAAAAACAAGGAACCACTGCATAAAAATGGAGCTTGACCTTCCCAACATCAGTTTGCAAAAATACAACATAAGTTTATGATTGATAGTTGTGTTGCTGTTGCCTTTTCTCAAAGCTAGTAGCAATACAAATCACAATACATTGCAGCATTGCTTATAATTGTTTTTTGATTGCTGTGCAGAACAAAGCATGCAACACATTAATTTTGCTCTATTACCTTAAGAAGTCATTGGTAAAGATGATAGCTGGACGAACAGAGATGGATGAATGGATTCGTGCTCTGCTAATATTTATCGATCCAGGTGAATGGAGTCTAAATTCCCTTGTTGCCCACACCAGTATTATTTATTTAGTCCATTCATCTGGACGTTTAAATGACTTCAGACGTGTTGACCCGACTTCTTTCCTCAAGAAAGTCTTGGAGATACCGACATGCACCTTCTTTCACAATGTCAGGGTCATTTGCACAAAGCAAGCGGTCCTTTGAGGATTCCTTCCTCTTTTAATTGATCACATTCTGTCAAAACTGTGAACTACTATAGAATCTCCAGGGGACACATGTTTGTCAAACCTGACACACAGGCCACAATTTGTGAGGTTGAAGGGTTGTGTTTGATCAGGCGGTCAGCAGCACAGGAGCACCACAAGGGACTGTACTCTCACAATTGGTTTTCATTCATTACAGGTCAGACTTTCAGAGTCCCGTCATCTACAGAATTTATCAGATGACTTTGTAGCTATGAGTCTACAAAATGAGCATTAATCAGTCAATATTGTTCTCACAAATTGGACAAAAATGCATGTTTTTTGAAACTGGAATGTCCAGACAATGAAACAGATAGTCTTGTCAGGCTTCCAAATTACTGCTTCGCTTTTACAGACTCTATTAACTCTTCCAGTCCCTGAGTTTTAATCCTTTTAACGACTCCTGCAAATTACAGGCAATTACCTTTAATTAGAATTACAAGAGTGTTACAATGAATGGAGTTAGATAATGACATGCAATTACACTTCTCCAAAAGTTGTCCCTTTATTAAAACTACAAGCAACCATCCTGACCAATGTGTCATACCCTACAAAAAATGTCTTGCTCCCATGTACATGGACACTGATGATTTCAATCTACTGTTGATTACAATGACTGACACATGAAGACATACTTTTTCCCAACTGTCAGTCATCACCATGTAAGAATATTGTAAAAAGCTTTGTGTTCCTTTTTGTGTACCTGAATTATCATGTTTTTCTGTCTATGTTAAAGGGTTTAATACAATTAGAAGATTAAAAACAATTAAGCAATTCAGAAAACATTTTTTCAGCACAATTTTGCTCTCAATATGCATCTTCAAAAGGATGAAAACGTAATTAATCTACATGTAAATCATACACCCTACTCATACCCAAATAGGCTTTACATTTGTTCAGCTTAAGATTTCAGTCGCAGTTAAACTTAAGATACAATGCTTTTGATAAAAAAAAAACCCACATATGATGTCTTTAACATCAAATTTAATTGAAAATATTCTAACTGAAATACGTGAGGCAATGTGTGCCTTTGTCTTCCCAAAGACGAGTAAAACTCACAAGACTGATGCAAGAAAGGTGACCTCTTTATCTTTTTTAGAAAGAATCCAGGAATGCAACCTAAAAAAGAATGAATGGTGAAGAAATTCACAGGGAAATGGAACAGGAAGAGTTAAAGACAAGTACGTGAAAGGAATGAGGAGGGTAGGGAAGAAGAAGAAAAAGCAACAGAAAGTCAAAGCTTCCCTTTTAGTGTTTTTTTTTTTCCCCTGCCCCATCAAAGGAAGCCAATTTCTCCAGAGGAAAGTGGAATAGGTTGGAATACCAATACGGCATACACACAAAAACACACAAGTGGGAGAACGGAGGTGAAACATAATCAAAACCGTCTCACAAGAAAAGAGAACCACGAAAGAAACGAAAGGGGGCATATGAAAAGCATCTGCTTCGGGAAATTGGGAAGTGCCAAAGGGAGAGGGAGAAACAAGAGAGAATAATTGTGTTTGATTTTATGTAGAGAAGAAGGTCAAAATGCCTTTTACAAATCCAACAGATCAGACCGTAAACGCATGTTGAATGAAAAGTGTGCAGCGTCTAGCGAGTGTATCAATTTCCCGTTAAAGGTGCCCCCACCCCCACATTTTGTCATATTAGGCAACATCAACTGGAGCAAACTTAATTGAATTTAAATTATAGAGGAACAGTAGTTAATTAGTGTGAAATGGGGGGGTGGCAGTATAAATATAGAAAAAGATTGCTGCATATCTAGTCAAATAAAAATATTTGAACATCATAATCCTAGTATCCACCTTAGGCAGCATGAAGTCCAAGGACTGCACCACAGAGGTCGATGATAGTGTTATGGAAAGGTGTACAGCATGGTTATAAAAGAAAACTCCAACCTCTGAATATTCCAAATGAATTTAATTCAACAGTTGAAAACAGAAAAGTATGGCATGCCAAGACATGGTCGTCCACCTAAACTGACAGGCTGCGGAAGGAAAGTAGAAATGTGTCAGAGATGAATGGTTACTCTAGAGAAGCTGCAGAGATCAATGGCTCGGGTGAGAGAATCGGTTACAGGGATATCTATTAGCCATGCACTCCACAAACCTGACCTTTATGGAAGACTGCTAAAAAAAGTTATTACAAGAATCCATTTTGTCTTTTTCATCGTTTGCAAACAGGATAAACCTTTCAGACCGAACAAACGTGCACCAGAAGATGCTCTGGTCAGATGAGACCAAAACTAACATTTTTGATCTAAATGTAAAGCTTTGTGCAATAGAGAACTAACATTGCACACCTCTTTAAAACAGTGAAACACACTGCTACCTACACCATGCTGTGGGGTTGCTTTTCTTCAGTAGCACTAGGAAATTGATTAGAAATAACAGTAAATTGGGAAAATAAATATTGGGACAAAACCCAGTCCAAACACACAAAGCACTTATAGGACTGATCAAAGCATGCTAAGGTGTTGACATGTCCCAGTCAAAGTTCAGACACCAATCCAAAGGATAATCTGGGGCTTGAAGCTACTGTGAAGGATGGTTCTACAAAGTACTCGCACAGCATGGCGGAAAACATAGGTGACCTAAAATATTATGATTTTTATTTAGCAAGAAATAAAATAAAAGTCCAAACCATGAATTACTTTCTTTTCACTTCACAATTCTGCAGTACTATCAGTCGTTCTATCACAAAAAAACACATGCAGACATTTGCATTTTCAGCAAATACAAGAAAAATTCAAGGGGTATAGACATTGATATAAATAGGAAGTGCTTAAATATGCACTTGAAAGATCCCCTTTTTTAATACGTTAGCATTTCTGAGATGCCACACTTTACTGTATTCAAAGCACGTTAGGAGATAATCTTAGAACTCCTCATAGTTCTTTGGTTGCAATTTAAAACTGGCATGCATAAATTGTACATCAAAAATGAGATTCGAAGAATCACGTGATGATGTAAAAAAACTGTACAAAAAATGTAAATAAATGGAAACAGATTACCCACACAAACCCTGAAGCCCCCAGGCTACTTTCTACCGCAGAAATGTTATGCCCTTAAAGGAAAACTGTGATAATACATTGCTGCTGGTCAGAATGTTTGACCGTGAAACACAGTGACTACAGATTAGTGCAAGAGTGTTGAGGTTTTGCTGTATATGGCCAGTTCCCCATGGGCAGCTTGATAGAAAAGATAGCTATTTTCAGCTCAGGAAGTTTAACCTACTTATCTCCTCTCACTGAGACTTCCCCTCTCTTCTTTCCCACCCATTCCGCCGTACCAACCTCTCCGTTTCCTTCCCCGCCTCTCTAGGTTACTCATCCCATTCCCCTTACATCTTTCTTCCTCAATTCTCCATCAACACGTCTCACACATCAGTGCTCTTGTTAATGCACCCTCAATGGGGATGCG